TGGTGTATTCCAAAACTCTAAATAAGCCCTAATGAGTAAAATGAGTATTTTGCAGTACATTTTACGTTGATCAAAAACATAGCCCGAGGACAGATACCAGTTGATTTTGTGTGTGTATGTACTCATGCCTGCATGTAAGAGAGGTACAGGAGAGAAGGAAGGAAGGAAGAATAAATATACTATGAAATGCTCATGAAGCATCATAAAATAGAGCTGCAAGTTACCTTGGAAGTCATCTAGTTCTCCCAACTGCTCAACAGATGATCTGCAATGCAGGATGTACTGTAACTACAACATCCCTGGTAAATGGCCAACTAAACTCTGATGTTCATTACCTTCCAAAGCAGCCTCATTCCACTGTAAAACTTTAGGAAGTTTTTTTCTAATGCTTATCTATAGTGAAATCTGTTTCCCTGAATTTTCTACCCATTGTTTCTAGTTCTGCCTTCTGAACCAATAGATGCTCCACCTTCTGCATGATGGCTCCTCAGATGAAAATTAGTAAGCAAGAAAGTTGGGCTGGTAGTGTACTTAAGTGTACAAAAGTTTCATGTTCATGTTAGTCGTGAAGTTGAGCCTGACCCATCACAACCCCATGGACAACATTCCTCCAGGCTCTCCTGTCCTCCACCATCCCCCAGAGTCCAGCTAAGCTCACACTGACTGTTTCAGTGACTCCATCTAGCCACCTCATTCTCTGCCATCGCCTTCTTCTTTTGCCGTCAATTGTTCTCAGCATTAGTCTTTTCTCCAGTGAGTCCTTCTCATTAGGTGGCCACAGTATTTGAGTATCTGGCTTTCTAAAGAGCAGTCAGGGTTGATCTCCTCTAAGACTGACTGGTTTGATCTCCTTGAAGTCCGAGGGACTCACAGGAGTCTTCTCCAGCACCACAGTTCAAAGGTCTCAGTTCTTCAGCGCTCAGCCTTCCTTATGGTCCAGCTTTCACAGCCATACATTGCAACTGGGAAAACCATAGCCTTGACTATACGAACTTTTGTCGGCAGCGTAATGTCTCTACTTTTTAGTATGCTGTCTAGATTTGCCATAGCTTTCCTCCCAAGAAGCAAGCGTCTTTTAATTTCTTGGTTGCAGTCACCATCTGCAGTGATCTTGGAGCCCAGGAAAATAAAATCAGTCACTACCTCCATTTCTTCCCCATCTATTTGCCAGGAAGTGCTAGGACTGGATGTCATGATCTTAGTTTTCTTGATGTTGAGTTTCAAGCCATCTTTTGCACTCTCCTCTTTCACATGCATCAACAGGCTCTTTAGTACACTGCTGGAATTCTTCCCAGTTTCATGCGACTTCAGTGTGAATAGTTTTTAAATAATCTGCATTTTATTAATCACTGTGGATTTAAGTGCTGCTCATTTGAGAATCTTTGTGTGTATATATATTACAAATGAATCTATATTTGCATTACTGTATTTTCATATACCATTTATAGTTTGTACCCAACCTTGTAAAATCTTTGTTCTAAAGGTAATTTAGAAACATGTAATACAATAATCTTCTGTAATTATAAAAGAAAGTATGTGTGTATTTGTCCATCCATCATACACAAAGCACCAAGGCTGTAAAACACCAGAAATGTGGCATTCATACTAAGGATATCCTTGGGGTTATGTTGTTTTAACACTTTAAAAAAAGCATATTTACATATGTTCATGTGGTTGAAACCTATTCAATATAGGTTTCAGTCTACACACATTTAAAGCTAGGAGTAATAACTGACCACACAGGGAATGGAATGGATTGACTCCTGCCTTGGGAAGCAATAGGAGTCTACCATGACTAGGATTGCCAGCAAGCATGGCTTCATTCAGATGGGACAGGTACAACGTGTTCAACTGCATTAAACTAAAGAATATTCCAAACTCTCTCCAGAAAATAAAACAAATGCTGTTAATGTCCAGATGCCATGATGGTAAGTGTCTTGATCTGTCACTACCACTATCTCCCCACTCCCCATTACCTTCTGAAATGATAAAGAGTTCTGCCTTAAGCCCAAGAACATGAAAATGTTCCCCCATTCCCCATAGGTGTCCACTAGGGAACACATGGAAAAATGTCCACATGGAAAAATGTACGAGTATACTGTAGTCTTGGGACGGAACTTTGAACCCTGGAGAAGCTTGTTCTTGGTGTTGGAAAGGAAATAGGTTAAATATAGAGTGTGTATGAAGTCTGTATGGACTGGCAAAAAAGCCCTATCACTGTGCAAGACACATGGGATATAGCCCACAGCTCTAACAAAGGTGAGTTGCACAGAAAAACACCTCATTCAGCTGCACTGCAAACTGCTGCTCTAAGTTTCCACAGAGAACTTTGTTTTTTAAATGTTTAATCTCTTTCCTTCTCACTTTCACTTAGCCTCTCTATTTGTATTCAGGATGGCACATATTAAGAAACCCCCCAAAATCCCATCTCTCCAATTTAAGGCTAGGTAGTCCTTTGAGGTATTGTCTAATAATAGTGCTTTAAATACCAACTTGTTTATTGAGCTACATTGATTTTCATGTCTATGCAGGCAATTCAAATGGAAATCTGGCCTGGGGGAAATCCCAGTTCTTTTAAGCTACAAAAGACCAGCAATTTGTTTTGATACCAGTTCTTTACTACCTTGGAAAGCAGGATCATTAATGATAACAGAATACATTCTTTATACAGGAAAAAAATGCATTCTGGTTAGCGCACCTGTATTAAAAACTAAGGTTGCTGTGGGGTTGGGAAGCCAGCCATTGAAAAATTGAAAACAAAACACTAACAGCTGGGGAACTCATTGTTAAGTATCATCGATAAGCCTAAAATCTTTAGGAGTCTGGAGAGAATTTCAACCTGGCACCTTTTACCTAGTTTTGTCAGACAGCACGATTGAGCAGCTAGTTGTTTTGCCCAAACTGTATTGATGCATGTATTGTTCTTTGTTTTAATTCATTTATAGAGTGTCATTAATTGTACACTTCAACTGTATTAGCCTCAACCCTGTTTCTTTTGAACTATGCTGTAGGCCCTGCAAGGCGATCAAACCAGTCAGTCCTAGAGGGGATCAACCCTGGCTGCTCTTTAGAAGGCCAGATACTGAAGATGAAACTCAAATACTTTGGCCACCTAATGAGAAGGAAGGACTCACTGAAGAAGAGCCTAATGCTGGGAACAACTGAAGGCTAAGGAAGAAGGGGACAGCAGAGAATGAGGTGGCTAGATGGAGTCACTGAAGCAGTCGGCGTGAGCTTAAGTGGACTCCGGGGGATGGTGAAGGACAGGAAGGCCTGGAGGAATGTTGTCCATGGGGTCATGATGGGTCGGACAGGACTTCGTGATTAACAACAGCAACAATAACAATGCTATAGGCCCACAGATGTTCTCAGAAATACATGCAACACAAATATTGCAGAAATGCAGTATTTCTCTCACAATCACTGTAGACTCCTTTATCTTTTTAGTGGTTGGTGATTGCAAACTTCCTTGGAAACCAGGTGCCAGAAACCTTTGTCTTAATGTCCTTCCAAAGACAGAAAGTGTCACTTTGCTGCATTCATCTTTTTCTAATAGTATCCTGTCTGTACAAAGATAAGGATCAGGGCCCACCCATATCACTGTGCTGTTTACAATTTAGGAAAACTTTGTTGTCAGTCAAAAATGCAAATATATTCTTTTCTTAAAAGCAGCAACACATGGGAATTACATGGATTTGAAATACAAACATGTGAAATGACACACACTTGCCTTCCCAATGATAAGGCAAAAAAGTTTGTGCAAACCACTGGAAAAATTGTACAAGAACAATTCAATTCATAAATATATAACTTCTATAATAATGCCAAGATAAGTGAGGCCAGCTTAAGAGATCTGCATAATTATTAGCAGGTAGTCAAAAGCTATGAAAAGGCGTAGTCTTACCCATTCATTTTGCCATAACTAAGTTTTATTCCCCCCCCCCCTTTTTTTTTTCTTTAAAAGAACTCAAAATGGCTTATGTCACTTTTCCTCTTCTGGATCTCAATCTTATCCGCACAACAACAATCCTGTGAGGTAGGTTGGATTGAGAGTCTGTGAGTTGCTCAAAATCACCCAATCAGTTCTATGGCCGAGCAGGGACTAGAACCCGGATTGCCAGAGTCCTAGTCCTGCACTCTTAGTCCCTACACCACACTGGTTCTCTGCAAGGGGGCGAACATGGACACAGAAATTGAGAATTATTCTTTCATTTCTGCTCTTTGTGAAGCTTAATGACTATTCATAGATTCAACTTTATCATCATTTCTTTGACCATAGATCACTATCTGAAAGGAAACATTAGTAGAATTCTAGGAAAAGTAACTAATTTTTGTATCATATGACTAAACAAAGTTATCTGTATGATTATTAAGACAGAAAGAAAAAAGGAGCAATGGATTATAAATAATACAGGTTCTTGCTTATAAAAACACAACTATGAAGGAAATTGCTGAAGTCAGCAAATTATGCAATTTGTCAATACGGAAATAAAAGCTTTGTGAAAATCTTAAATAATTCATAGTGTCTGCTAACAAAACATAACAAAAGTGTCAGGGTGGCACATTTCAGCTTTTATGTTCATGTATAATGTTTTCATAGTTTACTTTTTGTTAAAAAAGCTTAAAAATAAGGTGTACAATTGTCATCTAAAAATAGAAAATGCTGCAGCAATAAACTGTTACATTCACCAATTATGAAGTGCACAAAAACAGTACCTTCTTCTGTTGGAATGAGGAATGTATGTATAGAGAAAATGGAGAAAAATGTACAGAAAAATTCTTGCTCCTCCTAGAGCAACCTATTCATAAAGGATTGATGACCAATTATATAATCATTTCCTTTTAAAAATATTGGTTCCTTTACACACACTGACAAGTGAAAATATTCTGTTTGAAGAAACAAGCTTCAAAGTGCTAAATTTTTAATTCAGATAAGGGGAGTAGGTTCTGGCTTTTTCAGTTCAGTACTGAAGTAGGGTATGAAAGCACAGTAATCTTACCGATAGTGCAGTGTTCACCATTCCAGCCTTGGCTGCATTCACATTTCCCATCTTTACATGTCCCATGCTCAGCACACCGAGGATGACATGCTCTTTGATTGCAGGATGGGCCAGTCCACCCTTCTTCACAACGACATGTTCCACCCATGCAAACCCCATGTGTGCCACAATCAACAGAACAGATCTCTGCATTAGAAATAAACAGCAACAGAAAGGTAGATGGGGTGGGGATACGCATAGAGGTGGGAAGAGGAGAGAGCACAATGAGTAAGCAAGCACCAGATGCAAATTGTATAGAGAAAAAAATCAAGCTATTTGAAAATTAAATCAAATGGTTTTAGGGAAGTTCTTGAGAGGATAGGGTATCTACTTCTTTGGCAATGTCTAAAGCTATTTTTAGTTAGCTTTGAGTAATTTCAAATTACATTTTTTCTGATCACATATTTCTTATGAAAGTCATGTTATAATGTATGCTCATAAACTTATGAGGATTTATAGAACATTATTATGAACAATGCATCTTATTAGAAGTTACAATAAAGGGAATAAAGCAGAAATACAAATTATTGCACACTGTAGAAAAATAAAGATGCTACTAAGATATAACTATGTCACTGTAATATTTTATTTTCCTCAGTATAAGATCTGGAGCCTTCCATCAGAGAGTCAGACCAGATAGGATTTGCAGTCCAGCATGTGTCTTGTGAATATTAAATATTCTCACACTTGCCTTATGGCAACTTAATAGATCTACAATCCCAAGACCACAATTAAGTAAACTTCCTATAGTCACCTATGGAAAGGTGTGCTCAAAAAGCTTGTAGATTTTTTTTCCATGGAAGGCTATGGAAAATCCATTGGTTCTTGATCATCATAATCATGTAAACCAATACCAGTTTTCACTTTGAGTGCTGCTTATGAGTTGCTATGCAGGTAGAGTTGCCAGACCATTCATGCAAGGCAACAAATGAAATGAGCATGCATGTACAAATTGTGTCTCTTCTCTTCAAAACCTTCACACTGGACTTTCCTTGATTGGAAGCACCCCAAGAAAAAGGAATATGGATTTTTCAGGGACAGTTGAACTGCTGCTGGTTAAGTGTTACAGTGGTCAAAACATGATTATAGGAAGTTGATGATGCACTTATTTTTCCTCTGTAGTTATGAAGTGAGTGGGGAGTGAAGAGGTCTTGCACTACACCCTGTTAAACATATGTCCGGCCTCCCCATCTCTATTATTCTGACAGTGGAAATTTCTGTATTGTGAGGTAACAAAAAATGCTGCGTGTAAATAATACAAAAATAACACTGATGCTAGATAGTACATTACTGTAATTTCTACCAACATTAGCATTCTTAGTGCTGTGGGACAAAAGAGTATGCTGTTAGACTGAGAACTATATAAGGGATGTTTCTTTCTTCAGTTACTACAAGTTCATAGCATTGAGTAACTAGTAATCTGACTTGCATTAGAACAAATTATGAAAGTGTCAATCATTTACAGCAGGGATTTCCTAATTTTCTACCTCATGGGTCCTCCTGAGACAGCTGAAAATGAACAATGTCTACCAGTTACAAAATTATAGTACAAGAGTGGATCCAGTCATAAAATGGTTGTAGACAGAGGGGGAATTTGGCATTCTCAGCTGGCAATTGTTGATATAATTTTATACTAACATCCACCCCCTCTTTGGAGATCACTTCATTCTTTGTTGTGGTGTTTTCCTTGTAGTACGGAGCTCCTTAATTTAGATTGCTTCAAGTTAAGTATAGACATTGGCTTTAGAAATATCATGATTTGGCTTCATCAATTCAGGATTCAGGCAGAACTTTAAGGACCCCAAATGGAGAAATTTTTACTTTATATAATTTTCCTCCAAACCCCACATGACTTTCAAGCTATTCTTATACATTTCCTGATATTTCTCCCATCCTTCCCTCCTCAATCTTAACTTGTACCCTATCCTCAAATGCCAGTTTATTTCAACTGTTCCACCAGCTACAACCACTTCCTCCCTGCTATAACAGCTTCCCTTATACCTTTCCTCTGAATTATCTGTTTTAAAAAATCATCATTATTAAATATATTCTTCTTTTTCTCTAACTACTCCCACAGCTACATGTACAATGCGTATGTTGTGGGCATGATGCAAGACAGTCAAGCAAAGGGGCAATGGACAGACTGCAGCATTGAAATGCTCTTGCAAATAGCCTGAGACCCACTGCTGGGTCCTGGCTGACAATCTGAGAAAAACTGATGTACCATACTCAGTTTCTCCTTTAGACTCCCATAAAAATTAAGTGCAACTTGTAGGATAAAGGGTTTTCTAGACTCCACAGTACACTTTGTTCTTTAAGTAATATAAGGAGTAAAATAACACTGCAGTCTATTTGCATTCATCCTTCTTTCTTTTTCTTCTTTAAAAAAAACACTGAATGTGGTTTTCTATGGAGGAGGAAAAGGCAATGTGACATTAGCCTAAGGGATATAGTTTATGTCTTTTAGAACAGAGTTAGCACAGCCATATGCTGGTTCATAAGCCTATTATACACTTCCAGTCTTATAAAAGAACAGCAGTCCTGAAAGCAAAGATCAGACATTATCTGTGATGGATATTAAAAACTGAGTGCAATAAAAGGGCTAAAAGGGTCTCTATTCCCATGATTGCATGGCTCTATCTTAGAGTTTCGTACATCAATAAACATACAATGAAGTACTGTGACACTTTTTATGTGTTCTAATGTGCCCTGGCCAAAAAAACTTTTCTCATACAATGCTTGCTATTGGGAATTAGATTTTTTAAAATAAGGAAATCTTGGAAGGATTGATTAACTTCAGAAGTTAAAAACATCACTCCTGCTCTGGGACAAACAGGTTTATTCCAGAGACTTTACCTTTTCTTTTCAATCTAATCAATTTTTCATTAAAGTGAAGGTGTTTATCAGCTTTTAGCACACTTGCTTTAAGCAAGGTGTGTGAGTCTTTGTAATGAACTTATTAATTAGAGTTAATTTAACTGAAGTGGAATTGGAGAGCTAATTAATGGGCAAACTGCTGATGGAGATAGAGTTGACTTTAAACCCATAAACCTTCTGATAGAACAGAACTGCTTATTCTTTTTCCTTTACAGATCTTAACTTTTATTTAAAAATGGAAACATTTCTGTATTATCTGTAGGTTATCTTAGATGTGACATACTATGTTTATCTGATCATATACAAACATGCTGGGAAATGATGAGAAAACTATTTTAACTTTCAGTGCTCTTGAAGCATAGTTAGCCTATTAGGAGTGGTGGCAACAAATGGAACTGTTCAACTTAGAAAAAATAGGCAAGTAAGGAGAGACTTAACAGAGGTGTTTCAAATAAATCCATGGTGTGGAGAAAGTAGAGAGGGAGACTGGTTTTTATGTACTGTGAGCCATTCAGAGAGGCTAGCATAGTGGCAGACAAATTGAAATAATAAAAAAATTGTCCCTTACCCACAGCACTCAAACCTAGGATAACCCTATGAAGCTGATTGGTGGAATGCTTAGGACAGATAAACAGAAGTACTGCTTTACACTGTGTATACTTAAACTATGGAATTTGTTGCCATGGAAAGTGGTGATGGTCACCAATTTGGATGGTTTAAATTGGGATTTAATGGTGGCTACTAGCCTTACTGGTTATGTGCTACCTTCTTTACCAGAGGTGGTGTGCCTGCATACACCAGATGCTGAGGAACTTGGGCAGGTGAAGATCTTGCACCCATCCTGCTTGGGCAGTCCTGTGGACAGCTAGTTTGTCACTGTGTGTATGGAGTGCTGGACTAGATGGACCTTTGGTCTGATCCAGTATGGCTTTTCATATGTTCTAAAAATCTTCTTAGCAGATAATTGAAAGATATAACATATATTAGATATATGTGGGTTCTATCTGAAATTGTTGAGTCTATGTTCTCACTGAAATGGATCAAAAGACATTCCATCTACTCTCATCAGACCTGTATATTAACTGAACCTGGCAAATTTCCAATATAAAATGAGTTAGCAGTATTAACAAGTGAAAACAGAAACTTATTCCATGGATATAGCACTAAACAGCTTAAAATGTGTATATTTGCTCCATATCTGGCCCTGCCAACTCATCCAGTACTGAACCAAACTAAAGGACACTGAAAGGAAGAGATATTGAGCTCACCTATTTTGGCCTCATGCTTTATTAAATCTTATCAGTCATCATATGGTAGGAATCTGTTGTTGAGTGCTGTCAAGACATCTCTGACTTATGGTGACCCCATGAATGAAAGCCCTACAAAATGTCATGTCAATTACAGCCCCACTCAGCTCTTCTAAGTTCAAGGCTGCAACATCCTTTATGGACCGAAGCCATAAAGCCTCATATTTAGGCTTCCTTTTCTTCTTCTGCATTCAACTTTGCTTAGCATAGCTGTCTTCTTCAGTGAGTCTTGTCTTCACATGATTGGGAATAAAACAGTATGGGCGGTCTTGGGCTTGGTCTCCAGTGAAATGTCCTTACACCTGATGATCTTTTCTAGTTCCTTCACTGATGCCTTTACAAGCCCCAGTCTTCTTTGAATTTCTTGGCTATAGCTTCCCTTTGAATTGATGACTGAGTCAAGGGATGTAAAATCTTTCATAATTGTGAAAGCTTCGGCAAGGGGTGGCATAGAAATGTTTTAATAAATAAATAAATAAATAAATAAATAAATAAATAATTTCCATTTCTTCTTTGTTAACAGTAAAGTTCAGTATTTTTTCTGTGGACATTTTTGTTTTCTTAATATTCAGCCATTGTCCTGCTTTTGTACTTTCTTCTTTCACTTTCATTAGGAGCAGGGATTTTTTTGTCATAGAACGCACAGGAACGGTGTTCCGGCACTTTTTCTGACGGATTTTTCCATGTGATTGTGAATCACCCTGTCGGGCGTAGCAGGTCGGCAGCAAAAAGCATTAAAATAGTGCCTGTGGGCTGCGTGTGTGTCGGCGCTGCTTGGGAGGGTGCTGTTTGGCTCGGGACGCTGCTCAGCTTGGGATCGGTCATGTGGTCGCGCGCTGAGTGCTCACTGCCGGCGGCGACCATTATGTTTATGTGTGTGTAGAGTGACTGACCCCAAGAGGTGAGTTCCGGCACCTTTTTTTTTTTTTTTTTTACAAAAAAGGCACTGATTAGGAGTAATTTCAATTCACTGCAGCTTTCTGGCCAGAAGTATGGTGTGATCTATGTATCTTAAATTGTTGGCATGTCTTTCACCAATTTTCACTCCTTTCTCTAACCCAGTTTTCCTTTTGATATGTTATGCATATACTTTGCACAGACAAGGAGATAAAGTACATCCTTTTCTGACACCTTTGCCTATGGGAATGCCATTCTGTTTATCCAGATTCTGTCCTAACAGTAGCTTCTTGCCTATGATACAGGACAATCAAGTGCTGAGGCACACCCGTTTCTTTCAGGACCACCCATATGATGCCCATAGAAGTCTGGAAGCGTCTGCTTTTGTTTTCAGCTTTCTGCATTAACCAAATCAGGAACTACCATTAACATTAACTAGACTTACTTTCAACACATCAGCTTCAAGTAGACATAGTTCAAAGTAGCTATAGAGTAAAACTAGCTACAGTTAAAGTTAACCACAGTTTGTTGTTTCAGGTAACACAACAAACTAAAGTGAAGGAAAACTGGTGGAAAAGCTTTTGACTTTCTGCTTCTGGAAGCATAAAAGGAGGAAAGGAAAGTGGGAGGAAATCCATAAACCTGAAGTTTACTGGGACTCGTTCCTGCTCATAAAAATTATACTAAGCCATGTGTTAGTGTGAAAGCTGTGAACTTAATTGCCATGTCAGAAGCTTTAAGATAGGATGTTTATGTTATAGGATTGTTTCAAGATGGTACCTCAGCACGAATGAACTGCAACACATTGTGAATGTACATAATTTTCATGATTTTGGGGAGGCTAAGTTTATGTAGCACATGATAAACTTTTGCACATATGCTACACACACAAACATGCATGGTGTGAACTGGACTCTTTCCCACATTCAGCCACGTACTGGCAACCCTCTGCAATTTTTGGCAAAACTTTGCCACCCCTTGCCATACTATACTTTATTGTACTGTCAACTGCAATTAAGAATTCCTGTAATATTTGTCCACATTGGGTTTAGACTGGCAACTAAATATAATATCATCACATAATGTTGTTTAAATTGCACAATATTGACTTTTATAGCAAAAAGAGTTTTAAAAACTCCTTACCATTGGAGCAGTCAGGACCAGTCCAATTAGGGTCACAAGTGCAAGTGCCACTTTCCTGAAGATATGTGCCATGGCCGGAGCACTGGTCTGGACACATAGTCTTCAGTATTTCACAGTTGCTACCACCCCATCCTGGATTACAGTGGCACTCTCCATGGATACAGACACCATGATTTGAACAAGCTGGATCTAAACAGTCAGCTGAAATAGAAATATAGTATTCCATCTATGGATTCCATTGTCATTTCCTATTAATTAGGTTGCATTATGCTCATTTTACATATGAACAAAGTAACACACAGATTCAACTATCTGCATACGCATACTATGTGCTGAAAATATGAATGAGAACACAAAACAGAGGCCTTGCATCCCAGTTGCAGACCTTAGCTTTAACAACTGGTTAAGAGAATGCACAGCACTAAATATAAATACCAAAATAACATAAGGTACATTTCTCTAGTCACTAGATCTAGAAAAGGATCTAGCTGTAATTGGACCATCAAATTGGACTTACTAACACCATTTAATTCTCCTTGAATGAAGAGAAGAGAAGGCAGGCAAGCAGGAAAAGCAAGCTTTAGATCATAAGGTAAAAGCCACCCATAATGCAACAAGTGCTGTTTCTGCTAACAGCTTCTAAACCAGAAGGCTGATTTAAAATTGTCTGCCCTGATTTCTTTTTGTGTTCCCATATGTGTTTGCAAACCTACCTATCATTGTAAATTTCATGGGTAACTATTACTAGTTCCTCCGATATCCCAGTATCAAACACATTTGACACAATCCCATAGCAATCCTGCTCTCCATTTTTCTGTAGGGAATAGCTAGGTAGGGCAGGAATAATGTCGTATTTGATATTTTGATAACAAAGACATCAATTAAAGACTGAAAAATTCACAGTATTGTGTTATTGCTAAACAACTTATTGTCAGAAATCCTTGCTGATCTACTAGAAATTGCCCTAAGATCTACTAGTAGGCCCAGATGTACTTTATGCCCATTCCTGTCCTGGCAAATTGTAATGTTTGCACAATTTTGTGGAAATTTGGATGGTCTTAATAATGGTATTACCCAAATGTGAATTTTGTGGCCTGATAGCATCAAAGAACAAGCTTGCTATTTCTGGTAGGACTGATATTTCATCAGTGACAAGGCCTGGATGCCAGGACTACCAAGACCAATTGTCTCCTTGAGGGACCATAAGTCAGGCTAGAGTCCCAGCTCCAGGAATGCCTTTCAAGAGCTGTTTCTTTCTGTTCTGAAGATGGAAGATCCTATTTGAAGCTGGCATGTGTGGGGGGTGTTCTGGTCAGATGGCAAGGACCACTATTCTCCAAGGAGTACTTAGTGCCTTAGCCTCTCCTCATAAGGAGGAGGAAGACATCTAGAAAGCCCAATGTTTTGGAGGCAACTCAAGCCTTCACAGTTCTCCAACCTTTCATTGGATGTCCTTTGTCAACTGAATTCAAGGGGTTATGGACAACCAGACTGGATGGCACTCTTAACTTCTTGAAAAATTGTAGGGCATATGTACCTATTGTTTCCCAATACAAAGACTTGGTCTCCTTTGGACTTTCCATCTACACTTGAAACTCATTTTTTCCTTTGGTTTTCTCCATATGAAAAGCATGCTTATCAGGGCAGATTCATTTAAAACAATTTAAATAAATTATTTAAATCAAGTTTCCTATTGAAACTTTTTCATCTATTTCCTAAACAATGATGCAGATCTGACCATTAAGCCGTGTTAATTTACAACTGAGTAGTGAAGAGTAAATTTTAGACGTAAATTACATGCAGGCTTTCCCACTCTTTACTCCACTAGATATATTTTTATGGCTTGCCCACTGAGTATGTTTTATGGCTTTCTTTTTTTTACTATGAAGGGAGTATCTGTAAAATATAACTTCTCATTATCTTGCATCCTTTCCAAAGAGGCTGGATATTCATGCGAGTGGAAATACAAGAGCCAACCCATTTTCAGGAGCATGTTCCTTTTGACTAAAGGGCTTGAGCTCCTTTTAAAAGGGGGTTTTGACAGAATAAATAAGACCCTTCCTAAATCCAGCCTGCTCATCAATATTTTTTTAAATGTTACTTTAGTCTGTTAAGGAGATCTGCCACTACAGAGCCCCCCTTTGTACTTACAGAGCGGTCTTCACGTCAAGCTGCATTATTGATGGAAGACCATCCGGGATGGGGTTGTCAACAGCCAAAGCCCCTCCATTCTCTTGAGAAGACCCAAGAATGGGATCCTCACCTATGCTTATATCATTGTGCACAAGGGTTTTTGATTAATTTTTATTATCCCAGAAAATGTTATACTAGGCCATTGATCAGTCTTGAAGAGTACTAGGAATTTAATTTAGAAAAGAAAATCAACTATTTGGTCTCTTCCAGAGTTGAATGTTTGTTGAAAATAAACTTCCCACTGTTCTGACATAGAGGGGTGTGTGTGAGTTATAAAAACAGAGCAATGACCTAGAAATTCAGGAAAATGAGAATTTTATACACTAATCTTCTGAGACATTTTAAGACAAAGTTCAGATATTTATAACAAAGGGCACATCTTTGAAATTGTGTGATGCTAGCCCAGCGAAAACAAATAGAAGCTGAACCAGTTCAGATGAATTCAAGAACAGACCTTTCAATTGAATGAGGCCCTCTTGGGATGAATTTCTGGTGGAATGTTCTAGTAGTCTGTAGTTCCTGTGTTCTGACAGCTGTGTAGTATGCTTACCCTCTTTAAGAAATAAATGAGTTGCATAGTCTCTATCTTTCTTAATTCACTTTAATGTTCTTTAGATGATGAGATTTAATTTAGCAATTTGACTCAATAAAACATTACACTTGTAGGGTCAATGGTCTGAAAATTTAATTCCAGAGACTTAATTGTATTACTTTGTACATGCAGATCAATAAAATTAGTTGGATTGAGAATGGCAATTGTGCTTTTTTATCCTTAAGAAAATCCACAAAAATGACAACACTCTTGAGCATGGAGGAATGACTATCATAACTTAAATATGGCCATCACTACAACACAAAAATAATGTATCATTTTTACTTTGATATGGTTAAATAGTCATTTTGAGAAAGGATGTTTATAGAAAAGATTGCCAACAAATGCAGTACACCAACAATTTCTTCTAAGCACCTCATCTAGTATCTAGCTCTTCTGTCTTTTAAATTTAAGACAGCTCAATGATGTAACAAAGATCATGTTTACAATCAAGAGATTAAAATATATTTACACATTCAATTGTTAGAAAAACCTAAAGTATACCGGTCTGGAGTATTTTCTAAATCCTATGTTGAACATGCTTGAAAGAAGCTGAATGTGGATTATATGCATATAAAAGGTATGTTTCTATGTAATGGAACAGTGCTAGAATCAGAATTTATATGGTCCTATATTCAGGGGCAAGAATATAATGGTATAGCAAAGCGCTTTTAAAGAATTACACCCAAAGCCTAAGTAAATGTTTACATATTTACCTTCCTCACAGTTTTCTCCTTTGTATCCAGAGTTGCAAGCACAAGAGCCCATGATGCAAATCCCACGACCCCCACATTGAGGGTCAATGCACTGGGTGGTAGGCACATCACACTCTGTACCTTTCCAGCCACTGTAGCAAAGACAGCGTCCTTTGGAGTACTGCCCATTACCACTGCACAATACTGGGCAGGCTGCTGTGAAATAAAACATGACAGAAGACTTAACGCAATTCTTTTCAATCAAGCTTTAGAAGCAGAAGAACATCTAGACAACAAGTTGTACTTCAGTTTCTTTTTCTTGCTGCTGTAGTAACTACTTGTGTTTCTGCTCCCTATTTATATCGACTTAAGAAAGAATTCAATTTATATACCTCTTGAACAATCAGGGCCCAGAAATCCAGCAAAACAATGGCATGATCCTGACACACACTCTCCGTTTCCATGGCAATTGCGGGGGCATTCCACCACAGACTCTGAAAGAAACCGTAAGAAGAGGAATTCTAACACACAGCAATCACAGTGGTTAACAAAACCAGCAGAGAATTCTAATTTCAATTACTCGTAAATGGCAGCAAATTGGGAACTATGTATGCCTAGTTTACTTACTGCCTTTGAAAAAGTAAATTGTACTCAATTTATTTTAATTAAAGGTTTTAAAATGTTACTAAATGACTAGAACACAAAGGCTACTGATTTTAATAGATTTATTACAAGTATGTTTTTTTACTTCCATAATAGAGCTCAGCAGCCTGTTATAAGATTTTTTTTAGTACACATTCAAATAATTCATCATTTATTTATTTATTACATTTCTTCACTGCCCATCAGCTCAAAGACTCCCTGGGTGGTTTACAATATTGAAAATACCATAATTAATATAAAACACATACAATAAAAGCACAGCAATACAATTAATATATACATACCATTATATAATAAGACAATAGATTTAGCTCCAACCACTGTTGCAGCTAAATCTAAAACTGAGGTACAATAAAATACAGTAAAAATGAAGATGAAAATCTAACTGTTAAAATATTTGGTAAATAAAAGGGCTTTTACCTGGCACCAAAATGAACAGAGAATGGGTACCAAGCATACATCTTTGGGGAGCTGATTGCACAAATGGAGCATCACAACCAAGAAGGCATTTCTTCTAAAAAGCCACCTTCCTTGTTTCCTTTGGCAGGGGTTCTCTGAGGAGGGCCTTTGATCATGATCTCAGGGTTTGGGTAGGCACATATGGAAGGGGTGTTCCTTCACCCCAAACCATTTAGGGCTTTAAATACAAATGTTAGCACTTTAAATCAAGCCTCGATATCAATCAGTAACCAATGTAATTGACAGAGGACTGGTCTGATGTGTTCATGTCAGCCAGCCCCCATTAGTAGCATCGCTGCTCTATTTTGAACCAACTGAAGTCTCTGAACTGTTTTCAAAGGCAGCCCCACATAAAGTACATTAAAATAGTCCAAGCAAGAGGTTACTAGATTGTGGGTCACTGTTGGTAGGCTCTGCCTGTCCAGGTAGGGATGTATGAGGGGAGACCCCAAAAAACCAGGAATTATCTTCTCGAGAGAGGACCCCTTGTAGTACAGTCTTCGCCTGCTAGGTGAGTGTTCTAAGAACCAATCTGCATCAGTGTAGCCAGCTAAGTCGTTGTAAGAAGCTGTGTTTGGCTTCAGAGAGGGGTTTTTTTTTTTTTTTGGAGACTCTCAACGCATTAGCCTATTTCATGATGGCTGATTTATATGAACAAAGTGTGGCAGTGAAACTTTGTTCAGCAGTTGTTGACCAAAACTGTGCCCCATCCTCCCTATTCACCCAATCTCACTCCATGTAACTTTTTTTGTTTCCTCAGATGAAAAAAGTCCTCAAAAGGAAATGTTTGGCCAATGTGGAAGAAGTGAAACAAAAACAGCAGAAGCACTAAAGGCAGCAAAATCAACGAGTTCAAAACCTGTTTTGCGCAGTGGAAAAAACATCTCCATAGGTGTATTGCATAAAATGGAAAGTACTTTGAAGGTGACTGAAGTTTGAATATGTAAAAATAAATACACAATTGAAAAAAGATCCTATGGGGGGGGGGTTCCCCTCATAGTTGATTGATTAACCAAAACTGATAGAAGGTGCTCTGTGCCACCACATCTACTAGGGCCTCCAGGGACAATCCTGGATCCAAGAGCACCACCAAACAATGAACCATGCCCTTTAGGCAGTGCAACCCCATTCAGGACAGGTTGAATATTTCCCAACTGGACAGGTGACCCACCTACCAACAGTACCTCTGTCTCAGTTTATTGCCCCTCATCCAGTCCATTACTAGGTCCAAGCACTGATTCAGAACAAGAACTGCCTCACCTGGGTTTGATGAAAAAGAGAGATAGAGCTGAGTTTTATCTGCATATTGGTTACACTTGAACCTATACCTGGATGACTTCTCCCAGTGGTTTCATGTAGATGTTAAAGAGCATGGGGAATAGAGTCCTGCAGAACTCCATGGTATAAATACCATGGTGCAGAGCAATAATTTGGGACCACCTTCTGGAATCGGCCGTCCAGGCAGGGGTAGAATAATTATGCACCATTAAAATAGATTTTTGTAAAATACTCAGAATATATGGGAGGGAAAATCCGATTGCAGAGTTAACGAATATTATGAAATCTGTACTTACCAATGACAATAGTATTAAATGAAATCTGTTCTGCATTTTTCCCATCATTGTAAAAAGCCAGATGCCAGATCCCAGCGTCCAGATACTGAATGAAACCTGCTTCGTGAAGACTGACAGATCTTGCCTGTCTACCTGCTCTTTCTGTCTCAAGAAGGTTACGCTGTTCTCTTGCAATCAACCGGCTCCCATCCAAAAGTTCAACAAAGTCATACTGCAAGGGAAAATAGTATGAAATGTACAAGTTAATCACTTATGCAGTACTGTGTTTATTTTCAAAATCATTTTCATACTACGCTCTACAGTTTATTTAGTATGTTAAAAGTTCCTTGATTAAAACATCAGTGCCTAAAGTGCTATTCACAGTAAAATGTTGAAGAACTCCTATTAGTAGCTTCCATAATATTCTGGGTTTTCATGCTAACATCCTAACCTGCACTCCATTAGTACATTTTCATGGCTATATTTCTTATGGAGGGTGTGATTGTATAAATGCTGTTGAAGTAAAACCAACAACATTGACTTTAGGATATGAGTACTGTTGTAAAAATAAATGAAATTGTAAAAATAGCCATCTAGATATACCAAAATTATATTTATTTATTTATGTACCTACTTAATAGATGTATATAGCACAAACATATCTGAGAATAACAGTACAAACAATTTTCCCACAATAACTCAGTTACTCTTTAGTATTTTTTTGTTCTTCAGAAAAAATGTGTGTGTATCTACGTACCTACAGTGGTACCTTGGCTCATGAACTTAATCCGTTCCAGGACTTTGGTCATGATCCAAATTGGTCGTGAGCCAAGTCAAATTTCCCCATAATGGTCAATGTAAATAAGGTCAATCCGTTTTGCAACTATTTTTTTAACTCACAAAAATTTGAAGCAAAGTGACAAAGAATAACAAAGGTTGCGGCCATCTTCCCCCACCCCCCGCCACAGAGATTGTGGGGGGGAAGTGGGTGTGCTCGGGCAGGGAACATGGGCACAATCGCAGCCATCTCCCCTCCAGCACAAATGCAGTCATTTCCCTCCACCCAGCACGACTGCGATCATGCCCGTGCAGGGAAGGCGGGTGCGCTTGTGGTCGTCACCCAATGTAGAGTTCGCGACCTGCAGCAAAATTTTTATGAAATTTCTGTTTGCAACCCAATTTGGTCGTGAACTGAGGGGTTTGTGAGCCGAGGTACCACTGTACAGAGATATGGAAGGAGATAACGGAAAGCACTATTGCAACTTAAGATATAAGCTGTCAGAAACACTATATTTTAAGAACAACAAATATATTATCAGATGTTTAAACATTACAGTACCAAATGTGCCAAATTGCAGGTGTTTAAAAAGCCTTTCACTGCTTTATACGTTACCATTCTACAGATTATCTACAGTTTAGAAAAAAAAAACAGATCCTGTGCTGGTGATGTATAAAGCCTGGAAGTGTGAATTGGGACTTTTCTCATTAGCTCAATAAAGTTAAAGATATCCTGCCAGTGTAGGTAACTGAAGTTTGTTTTAAAGGAGTTTTTAGCATTTCACATAAACATCAAATGGGGTAATCAAATTCCTCCATTACTACCAACTCCCCATACTACACACATATCCATCAGCAGTCCTGCCTCACACTTTAGAAATCAACCAAGCAAAATGTAAGTTGTATTTTATTTCAGTTGTAAGTATATGAAACCACTGATACATCCAAGCCAGTTATAAAACCAGTCGATGTTATTTGGATTGAAGTCCTTTGTATCTACTGACTCAATTTCAGAAGGAGCCCTTGAACAGAATTAAATGGGAAATTAAATGTCAAGAATGACAGTCTTTACTCAGAAAAACCAAACCAGCATTTCTAGAATGTTGCAGTAAAATATATCTCTTTAATCATCACACAATATTTCAATGTAGGCCATTGTACATATTCCTTTAGAAGCACTGGCTTCAAATTACTTCTCAGCCACTCCTCAGCATATATATAATAAAAGCTGTGATTTCAAGATGGTCACACAGAATAAGCTTTTAGCAAATGGTGAACAGTGATGCCTCCACTGCTTGTCTATAATTAACCAATATTTTTACTTGTTAAAATTATAGTTTAAACCTGTGATGAAATGAAAACCTCTTCTTTTCTTTAATACTGAATACTGAATTCATCATCATCATCATTATTATTATTATTACATTTTTATACTGCCCATAGCCAAAGCTCTCTAGGCAGTTGACAGCAATAATCACAGAATCATACCCTCAAGTCACCCATCCCGCTTCTGCCCAGGCCTGACCCTGCTTAGCTTCCAAGATTAGGCAGGGTCAGGCACTTAAATAATGTAAGTATTGTAGGCTCTGCTCTTTAGGTTTAGCTATGTTTTAATTGTAATGGTTTTTACTATTTCATGCTGTATGTTAATGTTGTGTGTGATAGCAGTCAACTTCAGTTACAAGGTGGCTATATAAAATAGAAGTGCATGTGGATATGTGTTCCACACCCAAGAATGAACTTCCACAGTGGTGTAATTCTAAAACTGTTAACTTATATACACCTGCCTGTTAATAAAACGGCATATTCACACACACACAAAATCAGTTTTTGCCTTACTGCATATCCATTTTCTGTTCTTCATGGGGCAGGATATGCATGGAACTGAATGAAGGAGATTTGAGCATGATAAGAGTGCTGCTAACATGGCTTTCAAGCAGTTTAAAAAAGTGTGCTTGCATGTAACATCACTGCTTCAGACTTAAATCATGGGACATTTCTTTAGTCCTTTATATTGAGGTCACATAGTGACAGAAAAGCAACAAACTGTTAGATGTTTTCAAATGATTATGCTCTTATACTATTTTCACCTCGTGGATAAGTCCCATAAAATTTTGGATATGCATACATACATGTTGTACACATTGTTCATCTTTGCTTTAAGCTACTGAAGTTATTTGTTATTTTGTCTGTTTAAATAAAAGTATTGATTGCTAGTTGCAATGAAACTGACATTTTAAGAAAATGTCACAAAGACTTGCAGACTACCATTGACTGTTTTGAATGGGCAGCCACTATCAATTACTTCTGGTTGATTTATTTGTGATACATGAGCAAAAAGAGAGCTGTGCAACCTAGATTGCTCTGACCTGGACAGAGAGCATAATAGGTAGTCATTCCAACACATCTAGGAATGATGTTACAAAACAGGAAAAAAGCTGCCAAGTATCATTTCTTATATACCAAATAAAGAAACTGTCATGTAAAGTTGTTTAAAACACAAACAAACGTGATTTTTAAAAAATGTTGATTCAGGAAGAAAAACGATAAGGCTTAAGATATATAAGATATATAAAAATGTGGCAATGGTGGTAAGACATTGTGCTAGCTCCCTATTAGAAATGACTTTAAAAAGCATTTCAAACTCTGATATTTCTCTTCATGTGTAGTATTTTCACAAATCAGACATGTATATTTTAGCAAAACCAACAACAATGCACCTAAAACTTCTTAGCTGGAATATTCTTCGACAAAAAGCTTGCTTCTGACTTCAGATTTCTTATGAATTACACAAAAACAACAGATTCTCCCTTGTTTCTAAAATGTTTTTAAAAAACAAAACACAACCCTATATACAATGTAATTAGATACAGTAACTTGAATACATAAATGCATATACATTTACTAGACTAATGAAATTATGGCTTGTGCCCTGTATATTCCAGAAGTATTATGTCTTTACTTCATGAAACTGCAAAATGCTTGGTCCAAGCCTTGGTGTGTTGACTTTTTTTCAGAGAATTTCAAGGAAAGGGTTTGTCACAATCAAAGGCCTGGAGGAACAGCTCTATTCAACTGTGGTATAGTGGATAAGTACAGTTCACATTTTCCATCAGAAGAGAAATGTTTTTTTTTAACTACAGCAAGTTTCCAAAAAAGGGAAAAGCCAGTGCCAGTGTGGTATAGTGTTTAAGAGCATGGAACTGGGACTCAGATGATCTGGGTTCTAGTCCCCGCTCCGCCATGGAACTAACTGGGTGACTTTGGGCCAGTCACAGACTCTCAGCCCAACCTACCTCACAGGGTTGTTGTTGCAGGGATAAGATGGAGGAGGACAATGATGTAAGCTGCCTCGAGCCCTTTGTAGGAAAAAGGCAGGATATAAATCGATAAATAAACAAATAAATAAATGAACTATTAACCCATGGGCTGTCTGAAGACATTTGATTCCAAACTGTTGAATGCTGTTTATGATTTTTGGAATTTTAGAATAGGCTGTAGAGATCCTTTGAGGATGGAAAAATGTGGGAGCTTGCTTACACCACATGGCTGAAATTATGCCTGAGTGCACTTGACAGGGCATGAATGGGAAACTGGAAGTTAACAACAAGTAGGAGGGGCAGCTTCAGATTTATATGAAGTAAAACAAGTTGAAAACGGGAAAGTGAAAGAGAACTTACAAGATAGATAAAGATTGTGATGAAGGAGAGGTAGATCTGAAAACACCAAAGAAGAATGTAGATTCTCAAAATGGTTAGTTGGTTTGTAGGAATAGATAATTCTTAGCTACCTCTGTAATAAATAAAGGCTCCTAGGTTCAAGAAAAGAACCCTTTAATGCCTTTTCAAGCCCTGTCTTAAAAAGGGGCTGAAAATGTTCTGAAAGGGTGGGACCTTCTGTAAATAGGCAAAGTTATTCACTACCAATTTGTATGTTTTTAAAGGGGACTGGGCAAATTCATGGAGAAGGTGGTTATCAATGGCTACCAGCCTTGTTGGCTACATGCTGCCTCTGTTCTCAGAGGCAGTATGCCTGCTTACACAAGTTGTTGAGGAGCTTGGGCAGGCAGAATCTACTTAAGGGATCCTGTGGGCAGCTGTTTTGCCACTGTGTGAACAGAATGATGGACTGGATGGATCATTGTTCTAATCCAGCATGGTTTTTCTTATTCTTGGAGTAGTAGAGAACTTCTGAAGGGCATTGGAAACAAATTGAAATAGATGGGTTATAAAAATAAATTTATTGGAACAAATGGTCCATACTTTCTGGACAAGAAAGTGTGAAAACAGTGGCTGATCCTTTTAGCGACTGACAGCCATTTGCCAAAAGAAAAAGATGACAGAGTGTGATATACTATCAGAAAAGAACAAAATTGTCTCATATGGAACTGCAGTTCTCCCAATGGATTGTGTTCAGGATCCTTGCATGCTTAATTTGGTATACTCTTGTCCGAAG